ACATCTCCCATGCTTGGCTTGATCTGAGCTGTATCTTTGGACTCTCACTGGAGCTGGTGTGTAGTCATTGTGCCAGGTATACAGTGGAAACCAAGCAGACAAATTCTCACATCCTCATGGGCCTGTGTGCTTGGGAGGGAACAGATAATAAACAAGTGTGTAATGGGTACTGTCATGGGAGGAAGTGGTGAGCACTGGGAAGAACAGTCCAGCAGGATCCATGATTAGGCAGGAGACAAAGTCTCCCTGAGGAGATGACCTCTGAGCAGAGGCTGAATAAACTGGGAGGGAGTCATTTGACTATCTGGGGGAGGAGTGTTCCAGATGGGAACAGCAAATGCAAAGTCTCTGAGCAAGGGTGAGCCAAGAGTGTTTGAGAACCGGCTAGGAAGCCAGTGTGTCCATAAGGCAGTGAGGGGGAAGTAGACAGATATCAGATTCTAGAAGTAGCTGGAGGCCAGTTCCTACCCTCAAAGAATTCTGTAGTTTATTTATTAGAAAAATAAAAACAAGAAATACTATGTATTCCAGCACAATACATCATCCAGGATAAAACAAAGTGTTGCAAGGGAAGCCTGGGCACAGTGAGGGAGACTTCCTGGGAGAAGAGGGCCTTGAACTATTCTCACTCATTTATTACTTAGCTTGTGTTTGTTGAATGTCACAAGGAGCCAGGCTTTGTGGTAAGTGGTATAGATACAAGATAAGAACAAAACAGACCAAACTCTGTGTCCACAAACTTACCACTTAGTTGTGGAGAGACATGTAAAGCAAAGAATCGCATAAGTAAATATATAATTACAAACTGCGAGGATGCTCCACAAGTACAGTAAAACATAAGTTCTGGAAAGCCTAAGACCTAATGTAGCCTGGGCGAGAGGTGGATCATCAGAAAAGGTGACGCTCAAGAAGTGGCCAGATGACTGGGAGCCGGCCCTGCAGGGGTGCGGCTTCTGGGCGGAGAAGGCAGACAGTGGGGAGGACCAATGGGATGGGCCAGGCCTGTTCAGGGGACTGAAATGCAGCCAATATGGTGGAGCACAGTGAGGATGATTTGGGGAGGCGGGGTAGGGTCCCCCAAATGGGGCTGTATGAGCTCATGTGGAGCTTTGGACATTAAATTTTATCCCCAAAACACTGGGAACAATCAAAAGTTTTTAGTAAGAGTGTCATGCTCAGATTGAGGTTTTAAGATGCTCAAGCTCCAAGCTATTTGGGAAGAGGTGTTGAAAGATGACAAGAGAGGAAACAGGGGACCAGTTGAGAGGACACTGCAGGAGTCCAGGTTAGGATGATGTTGGCTTACACTAGAGGGGAGATGACAGTGGAGATCAAGAGGAAGGAGGGGTATATTTCTCAAGTATTTTCATTAGGTAGATGTCAGGTGATGCAGAATTTTCATTTATCTGTGTTATGAAAAAACTAGAAATACAAAGAAAACAAAAGCTGCAAGTTTATGCCTCCTAATATTCTAGCAGTGAAATGTACTTCACCAGCAAGACAGGCATTTTCATGGCAGACCTTACGTGTCAGCAATAAATGTCACTTATTCCTTGCAAGTCTTTGGGAGTCTGATCTGGTGCATTCATGCAGATGGAATGACAATGATGCACTTCCTTGTACAATAAACAAAACACCTACTATGTGCTGGGGACACAGAGGTGAGTGAACAGGTCAGATCTCTTTTTTCAAGGAGTTGGTATTCTGGTAAAATTTACATTCCTGTGTATCCTTTTAATAAATGCACACTTCAACCAAAAGAAAATAAATAAGACTGATTTGTTTTTTAAATGGCTCAGTTTGATATAGGAAAGTATAACATAATTTCTGAATTTTTATGAGAAAGCCTCCAAACTTCTGTTAAAAAAATATTTAAGAAGTCAGTAAATTAATAGGCCACTGACTTATTGGGAAATAATTTTTCAACAAACTAAGCAAGAAATAATGTTATTGCTATATAAAGATCTTGTACAAATCATTAATGCAGAATTTCCCAATAGAAAAGCCAACCAAATACACACACAAAAAATACTGTTAAAATAAATAATACAAATAGCTTCCAGCTAGAGAAAGAAATTGACCTCAATAGTAATAAAAGAAATGCCAGTTAAATTAACCAGAGTGCACTTGCTCCTTCAACACGAGCAAAGATTCTTTTTTGAATCATGACACTTAGTGCTGGGCGGGAGTGACTGAACTAGTGTGAATTAGCATAACTTTTATGTTTAGGTATATAACGTAAAATAATAAGTAAGATAGACAAAGATTTCTATACATCAAGAGGGTAAAGGGTTCAAGACCGGACACAGATACTGAGCTTAGCAGGTCAGTAAGCATACTTTGTAACCTGACTTGTAATGAGGTTTTTCAGAGCTTCTGCAGAGCTCATTTTGATCAACTGTGAAAGGACTGAGTAGCCTCAGCAAAGAGCTACACCATGCAAGCTGTAATCTTGATCTCTTCGCTCTCTGGGGGATGTTACACTGATTTAGCCCCAGATCAGGACCTGCAGAGCTTCGAGTTTCCATACTTTCCAGCCTTCTGTCTGCTGCACCAAGCTTCTTTCAGTAATTAGGTTGGAGCCAAAGCACCTGCTCAAAGCTCTCTGCTGCCATCTCCAGTCCTCTCTTCTCTCATCCTACTTTCCACTTCCATATCTCAGAACTCACACACACACACACATACACACACACACCCCACACACAGGACCAGGGAGAAAGAAATCAGTGGACTTGGAATCAATAATAATATTTGGTAATGCTCATATAATGTATATGCCAGGCACTGTTTTATGTATATTAGGTAATCGGATCCTTAAAATAACAATAAAATAAAAATAATAGTAGCATGAGGTAGATACTGTTATGATTCCCTGTTTTACAGATAAGTTAATTAAACTAGACTGGTTTAAGGTCATTCAGCTAGTGTGTGGTAGAACTGGGATTTTTGTTTAAGCAATTTTAGCCTAGATTCCTGCTCTTTAAATCACTGTATCATTCTGCCTCTTTAACAATCAAATAATGGGAGTTCATGTCCTGACTGTCCCACTTAGCAAATAATGACTAGAAAAGACATGAAACATCTTACAGTCTGGATTACCTACTGTGGAATGGGCATACAGTTAATAGCAGCCACACTGAAGTGGAATGAGATGATGTATGTGAAGTTCCTGACATGTATTCAATATTTATGGCATTATTATTCATAAGTATGTTAGAATCCCAAGTCACTTGGTACATCTACTTTGCCTTAATATTTCATTACCATTTAAAAATGAATCGCAAAGGCAAAGCTGCGCCCCTCCCCCTCAAGACGTTTCGGGTCCCTGTTCCCGCACCGCAGTGTTTGGCAGGTATGCAGCCCGCTGGAGCTCTGAGCCCCAGCTCTTTATCACGCTGTTCAGACCATTTGTCTGACCTGGACTCCAGAGGCCTCTAGACCAGGTATCTGCCAGTCATGGAGGCCACAGCAGCGAGTGTGACAAAAGCTGTTAACAGTTCCCCGTCACTGTGGCAGAGTGACAGCTGAGCATGGGTGAGGAACTCACCAGTGTGCTCCAAAACAGAACACCGAGGGGCTCTGGAGGCAGAATTCAGAAGTGGGCTTGCCTATCCTTTAATTCCCAGGAGCTGCCTGAAAGAATTTTATGTAAGTAAGGAATAGCTATGGTACAGAATTTTATGTCAACTCTAAGAAGCAGTTACAAGCACATATTGATCCACCACCTCACATGGGCACCATTTGCTTATTTTAGTCCTGCAGATAAGGTTCTAAGAAAAAGTGAAAAACAGATTCCTCATCTGCCACTGGATAGAAGTGAAAAGGGAAACATTTTCCTTGTGTAACTCTGTCTGTACAATGTTTAACAAGTTTCTGTGTTTATTCATCAACATAGACATGTTGGTTTTCTTCAGTTCCCCCACCTTCTTATTTTAATGATATGAGTTAACTTTGTTTAACTCCTTCCCTAGTATCTCTCTTCTTGCATTTTAGAGCTGAACAGGTCTGGATACATTTGGACCCAGCTGCACATCTGCCTCTAGCTGAGAATTTGAACTAGCTGCTTATCTCTATGAGGCTAGATTTTCTTATCTGTAAATTGAAAAAATAATAATGCCTCGCTCATGGAATTGGCAAGAGGATTATATGACAGTAATGCATTTTGTAAAATATCTAATTGATAGTAGGTAAGTTAAGGGATAGGTAGCATAGCAGCATGTAAGAGAGGAAACATATGTGGGCATGAGACACAAGAGACTGGAACAAAATAAAGTACTGGAAAGTAGAGGAAATAACCACATGGGTCATTGATAAAATAGAAACAGATTTTGTTGTGGAAAAAGATACAGGTTCAGAGTTCAAAATAAGATGTTGTCATTTATCAAGAACTGCATAGTCAGAAGCAGAAACTGGACTCTTGCCACAACTAAGGTCCTTAACAGATCAAAATCACAGTCTCTCTTTTATATGTATCTCAGGCATCTCAGACACCTGCTCCTTCCAGCAATTCTGCCTTGATGTCGTCATGGGAGGGAGACACTGAAGAAAGTCGGGCAGGAAAGTAGAGGCCTCTGATACTTAGCAGGGAGGAAAGGTAGGCATGTTAGTTAACTTAAAAGGATTTTGAGTGGAGTATGGATAGTAAACTTTTGAAGGGGTCAAGGTATTTGTCCACTAAATACTATGTTTGTTGAGAGCTAATTTTCTCTAACTATTGTCATACAGTGTTATATTATTATCAAAGGGTGTATTTCTTCAACATAGTGGAATAGATAGGTGGGTACTGCTTAAAGGAAGTACTGAAAGAAAGAAGAATATCAATTCTCTCTCCAGCACATACTCGTTGGGCACCTATCCAGGCATTGTGGATACACAGCTGAATGAAGTGTAGATCTTGACATAGGAAATTGTTTAGGTTCATTTAATAATTGTCCAAACCAACCATCCCAAGCTTGATGAGTTAAAACAATAGCAACCATTTGTCATTTCTCATAATTTTAAGGTAACCTGGTTGACATCTCTTAAGTCATTGCTGTGAATAGTGACTGGCTGGAGTAATCCCGAGTCTTCTTTGGGATGCTGGGATGACTGGGCTTTTCTCCTTTTCTATATAATCTCAAGGTGTCTTCCTCTCCACATGGACTGGTTCAGTGTCCATCTATTAGGCGGCTGATCTTTCTGAAAGGTGGCGCAGATCAGCAGCCCACAGGGAGGAAGTGGAAGCTGCCAGTCCTCTTGGAAGCCAAGGCCAGCATTGAAGCAGCATCATTCACACTACATTCTATTCGTTACTGTGAATCAAAAGCAGAGGTATGTTGGGAAATCACCAAACGAACAAAAAACCTCCACTAAGTTGGAACATTTGCTGATTTTCCTAATGTAAGTAATCCCACCTTGGCTGATTTCAGGCTACCAGTGTGAACACAAAATTGGGAAAAGATGTACACAATTGGCTCCTACGGCTGATACAAGCTGGCAACAGCCTATCCCTGGCATAGGCTGACCAAGGGTCACTGTGGGAGAAGACTGCCCAAACGCGAGGATACCAGAGGATACATGGTTCACCGGGGGCCCTTTGGAGGCTACCACTGAAGCCAGCAGTCTAAAGGGAAAGAACGATGCACAAATAGATCATTACATTGTTAGCATTCAGGAAGATATGGTAAAATATATTAAATGTGTGATCAGAGAGCACAGGAGCACACAGTGACTCTGCCAAGGACTGTCAATGAAGATTCACAGTAGAGGTGACAAGCTGAGTCTTGAAGAATAAGCAGAAAGGAGCTCTCCAGGCAGAAAAAGGGAAGAAGATATCCAGTTACAGTTGACATGTCAAAGTCTGGGAATTGTTACAATAAAATCACTTAGAGAATGGTAAAATATTTCCTTTCTTATGTGATCATAGTGGATACATCTTGGCTATTCCAGTATTGTGTTCCATTGTTCATATCAACCAAACTCTAATGTTTTGATATTTATATCATGTTTCCTCCCAAACTTTCATTCATAAAAAAGAAGTGGCCCTCGAGCAAGGGAAACAAAAGCAAAAATGAACACATGGCACTACATCAAACTGAAAAGCTTCTGTATGGCAAAGGCATCCTACAGTATAGGAGAATATATTTGTCAACAACATATCTGACAATGGGTTAACATCCAAAATATATAAAGAACTCAACATGCCTCAACACCCAAAAAGCAAAAAACCTAATTAAAAAATGGGTGGAGGATATGAAAAGACACTTCTCTGAAGAAGAAATTCAGATGGCCAACAGACACATGAAAAGATGCTCCACATCACTAATCATCAGGGAAATGCAAAATAAAACCACAATGAGATATCACCTCACAGCAGTTAGGATGGCCAGCATTGAAAAGACTAAGAACAACAAATGCTGGTGAGGATGCGGAGAAAGGGGAACCCTTCTATACTGCTGGTGGGAATGTAAACTAGTTCAACCATTGTGGAAAGCAATATGGAGATTCCTCAAAAAATTAAAAATAGAAATACCATTTGACCTGGGAATCCCACTCCTAGGAATTTACCAAAAGAATACTTCTCAGATTCAAAAAAGACGTAAGCACCCCTATGTTTATTGCAGCACTATTTACAATAGCCAAGATTTGGAAGCAACCTAAGTGTCCATCAGTAGATAAATGGCTAAAGAAGATTTGGTACATATACACAATAGAATATTATTCAGTCATAAGAAAGAAACAAATCCTACCATTTGCAACAACATGGATGGAGCTGGAGGATATTATGTTCAGTGAAATAAGCCAGGTGGAGAAAGACAAGTGTCAAATGATTTCCCTCATTTGTGGAGCATAACAATGAAGCAAAACTGAAGGAATAAAACAGCAGTGGACTCACAGACTCCAAGAAGGGACTAGCGGTTACCAAAGGGGAGGGCTGTTGGAGGGCGGGTGGGGAGGAAGGGAGAAAGGGATTAAGGGGTATTATGATTAGTACACATTGTGTGGGGGTTCACGGGGAAGACTGTGTAACACAGAGAAGGCAAACAGTGAATGTGTGGCATCTTGCTACACTGATGGACAGTGACTGCATGGGGGTATGGGTGGGGACTTGATAATATGGGTAAATGTAGTAACTACATTGTTTTTCACATGAAACATTCAGAAGAGTGTATATCAATAATACCTTAAAAAAAAAAAGAAGTGGCACAAAATTCATTGTCAGACCATGTGGTTCAACTTTTGAAAGGAAATCTGGGCCCTATAAGTAGAGGGTCCTTTGAGGACAGAAAGAGAAAAGAGAGGCTAAAAATGTTTCCAGTGGTTAGATGGTGAAGGTTCTTAAATGCAGTTAAAGAAGACTGGAATGTATCCTGTAGCCAATGAGAATCTATCAGACAACTTTAGAAAGAGTTTGCATGAATGTATTGGTTTCCTATGGCTGCTGTAAAGAAGTGCTGCAAATGGCTTAAGACAAACAAATTTTTTATCTTGATGTTATGGAGATCAGAAGTCCAAAATCTGTCTCACGGGGCTAAAAGCCAAGTGTCCGTGGGACTGCCTTCCTTCTGGAGTTTTTAAAATCTGTTTCCTGGCCTTTTCAGGGCCTCGAGTCTGTAACCTGCATTCCTTGCCTCGTGACTACTTCTTTGCATCACTCTACTTCTTGCTTCTGTTACTACATACCCTACTATCCCCTTTGACATAGGAACCTTCTTATAGGAACTTGTGTGGTTACATGGGCCCTTGCAGATAATACAGGATAATCTCCCCATCTCAAGAGCTTAATCACATGTGCAAAGTCCCTTTTTCCTTATAAAGTAGCATTCACAGGTTTCATGGATTAGCAAAGTCCCCATTTCCTTATAAAGTAACATTCACAGGCTTCAGGGATTAGGAGGCAGACATCTCTTGGGGAGCCATTATTCAGCCTCCCACACATGACCAGATTTGTGCTTGTGTGTGGGAGGCTTCTAAGTATCACTCAAGATCACGTGCAGAGTTGACTTCAGAAGCGTGACATAGAAGGTCAGGAAAATAAATTATAGGCTTTTGCAATAGTCCAGGTAATTCTTGAAGTAAGACGTGACACTGAGGAGAAAAAGGGGGCATATGAATTCCAAAGGTGTCTAGGAATTGGGACTAACAAAGGTTTTATGACCAGTAAGAATGAGCATGTAAAGGAAAGAATCATTATTGACTCAACATTTCGGCTTCAATTAGGTGATTGTGATACACTGAACCACACAGAATGCATGAGGATTTCGGGTGGAGGTCAGTTAGTTCAGTTCGGGCCATGTTGCTTGGATAGCTCTTGGAGCACTGCGGTGATGAGGCCAGAGTCCATTGGAAATTCAGATCTGGAACTGCCATGAGGAAGAGATCATCCATGGAGAACACATTAAGTAGGAAGAGAAGTTCAGGAATAGAACCCTAGAGACTCCACCTTTTGAGAGGAATGGTCAGCTAAGCAGGCAGAGAAAGGAAGAAGCAGAGGTGTCACTGAAGCAAAGAGATGAGAGGAAGCAAGGAGGAGGGTTTGGCAATGATATCACGGACCTTAGAGACTCAAGTGAAATGAGGCCTGAGGTCTACTGGACTCTGCAAGATAGAAATAATGTTAGATTTTGTCAAGAGTAATTTTAGGAGGTTGTGAAGTCTGGAGTAGATGAAAGGATTGAGGGTGAGTGGGCAGTGAGGATGGAGAGAAAATGATTGCAGGCTGTTATTTCATTCTATAAACAGAATGTAAGAGATTGTATAGTTAATAGAGAGAGAAGCCCGTTTTCCTCTAAAATGACAGTTGCTTTCACTTTTTGTAATTTAAGGGCGTCGTTGGCGAAGAAGACAATGAAGGTAAATGGACAATAGGTTATGGGAGATATTAACTAGGGGACAGGATGGGTCAATAACACGTTTAAGGGTCAGCTCTATGGACAGAGGGGGGGAAGGAGGTGCATGTATGAGAAATAAGCACATCCAGAACTACGTTAAAGGGCAACATGGCAAAGATGAGGAAGCTTCAGTTTGACAGACCGATGTTTTCTATGGTGTAGCTGGCATGAGCTTCTCCAACCCAAGAATCCCAACCTGTGTTCATAAACTCTGGGTTAAGTATGTACAGGTTTGGATCCCATCCCCATCACTTCCCATCTGGGTGACTCTGATGACTTTCTTAACTTCTCTCACTCTCTGTTTTGTACCTGCAAATTGGGGACGCTAAGATTATTTACCCCAACACAGACTGATACTAAGAACAAATTAGATAATCTCTGTAATGTGCTTCAATAAATGTTAGATATTATTGGCACAAACAGAACCCTCTGTCTTTCTTTTCACCTTCCATAGACATGTTTATATGTTTATTTGATTCATTTTTTTAGCATTTTAAGATTTCTTCCAATATAAAGTTTTTAAAGTTTTAATATTTATCAGTGTGTTCTTTGAATATATCTGATCTTCAACCACAACATGATTTAGTTAAAGAACTGAATCCATAAACACCATTTTGGCTCAACACACAAGGATGTTAGGCTCATGGGAATACCATAATATTTTATGATTAACAAAATCCTACCTTAAAACCATATCTGGGAGAACATTTGATCTAATATTTATACCTGGAACTATAATGGGAAGCTTTATAGATTTCCTTGTATAAGATTTTCATCCTGTCATTTTCAAGTGTGGGCAGCCTCTAGGCTGTCTTTGACTTGAAGGGAGGGAGCTCAGGGCTGTAATTGACAGGCCCCTATAAATCACGTTAGCAGACAGGCTAGCCTGGGATGCATGCTGAGTTTCCACCCGTCCTAAATCCTGTTTAATCCAGGCATTGAATATGGCTTAATTTATCTCTAGAAATAATTTTATTCCAGCAAGGCGCCTTGAAAAATGACATATGTAGCCTAAAATAGTGTGTATGTGTGTGTGTGGGGGGGGGAGTGGGGGTGGGCAGAGAGAAAGAGAGAGACAGAGACAAAGATGAAAGTGAGAGAGGCAGAAACAGAGGACCCAGGAAAAAATGAGGAAGGTGAGAGGAGGAAGAGGAAGAGTGAGTGAAAATAGCTATTTCCTCTCATTCTGTGTGCAGGATGGAGCTCATCTCTAAGCTGGGTCCTGGGACAATGCCTGGGGCACCCAGCAGCCGGGTGAACTTGCCCAGGTAGAACTCCTGCGTGGACTTGGTGTTCCTGGGTATGGCTCCCACACTGCACCTCGGACTATGGATGGGGCCGCCCTCCCTAACATTGGGAAGGCCACAACCCCCACCCAGACACGGTGTGCACTCTGCCATGGCTGCAATAGCTCCCTGGAGCCCTCAAGTATTTTTTTAGCTCCAAGGCAGGCTTTGCTTTCCATCAGCGACTCAGAGGCTTGCTCCACGAGTACACTGCCAAGCGCCTGAACGCCCAGGGTTTGAACGCTGAAATCTCACCACATCTATCCCAGCCCTGTCTGAAGCCCTCCAAGGAGAATCCTTAATATTTTCAGTCAGAATAAATCAGAGAAAAGACTGTAAATTATTTGGCAATAAAATATTTCTTAGTATCCTCTGAAACTTTTCTAGTTAGCCTCAAGGCATGTTGAACCCACAGCAAGTTTACTGGAAATGTCGGTTATTAAACAGACATTTTACTGTAATTGAATGCTCGTGTCACACAGTTCAGACCACAGGCCCTGGCAGCCCAGAGAAAGGGCTGCTCGGAGCAAACTGTGCACCGACAGGAAGCAAAGTTCTCGGTGGGTCCCCACCACACTGCTTGGGCCTTAAATTGCAAGAGGGAGAAATTACCAACCACCGCCCCAGCTATTGCCACTGAGTTGCTGTCATTGAGATAATATGAAAGCCAGGTAAAATATGAAGGAAACCAAAGTCCTGGTGGGATTTTTTTAAAACACATTAAAAAAAACCTTTTTTAAAAAACATTTTGGTTGAGGTTTATCGTGTTACTGATAAATGGTCAAAGTAAAGTGCAGAGGGAAATCCCTAACCCCAAAAGTTGGGGTTAGGCCATCAACTTGGACTCTATTTACTGACTATTTTAGCAGAAATGGATATGAAATTCCCTTGTTTTTCAAATGCAGTTTTAAGTTACCATCAAAAGACCAAGAATCCATATCAGGTTGAGTTTGTCCTCTGAATCCCAGATAAATAGGAGAAATTGCCTTCATCTGTGCTCAGCATAGATGCCCCTTCTGTGTAATGCTGGCTGCAATTCTTGATAAGCTGCTGTACAACCCTGGTCCTCATGACAAACTTGATTTATGAGGTGATGCTTAATTAGCCTTTGTGACAATGAGGTTTCTTCCTTCCTACTTGGGGCTCATCCTCTTGTCTGTGTGCTTGGCCCCATCTCAGACTTCCTTAGGATCTACTATAGTCATTCTTCTGACCCCCAGATGTGCTCTAGTGTCCTCCATGTTGAAAGAAGCAGGAAAGCACATGAACAAATGATCCTGCTACAAGTTTTCACTCACCTCCACTCACAGCATCTTAAACGTCAAACCTAGTCCCATTACTACCTAAGAAGAACGTGTCCACTTTGCCAACCAGACCCTGTATTAGTATATCAGAGAGAGCCCTGCATGCTGTCATTGTCTTTGTGTTACAAGTTTACTTGACCCCACGTTAGTGAGCCCAGAGAGCAGACATAGGCTTCTGCTTTCCTCCCAGTCAGCGTTGCCTCCTGCGTGGTGGCTCAGGGCCCCTTCTGTAACTGGTGGTCCACCGTACATCCTACAAGAACCAGGACACTCGGGACTTGATTAGTTTTTACAAGCCCTCATTCCATAGGTCTGGATTCCAGTTTTACCTCTGATGGGAGTTTCTCTTTCATATGGCTGCATTTTCTGGGGTGTGCCATTGTCTGACTGTCACTCATGTCATGTGTAGTGAAATTCCCATGATGTGTCATGTCATATATCATAACATCAGATGTGCATCGAAGGTCATTGCTAAAAAGAAAATAGTGTTAGGGCTTCAGTAACCAATTTTTTTTTCTTCGTCAAATGCTAAGCAAGGGAATGGCCTGTTTTGGCATTCACAGAAGCTGGAGTCTTTTCCCCTGTTGGAATTGCTTGATCTGAATGGCTGAGCTTTAACCACTTTAGAGAAAAACTGGTACTCCAGTTTCCTTTTGGGGAGCCTTACTCTGAACCCAATCCTGCTTGTAAGAGAGCCTGGCAAACAGACCTGGCCATTACTAGCCCTCAACACTGGATGGAGCACTCTTTTAAGTCAAGTAGACCCTAGAGTGGCAATGTCACCACTTACCTGGCTCTTAGCATTACTGCCAGGTGACTCCTGCTTTCTGGTGACCAACGAGTTGCTCTTGCCTTGCCTTACATGTTGAAGAGTTTGGAAAGTATCTGTATTTATAATGCACGCTCCTTTGTAGCTATGATTTTTGGCTGCTGGCTGTCTGCATATCAGGGGTCATTCATGAGCTAGCTTTGTGTCCACACCCTAGGCCTACCTCTTCCCAGTTTCCTCTCTTCACCACTGCCCAGTATAGGGAACAGTCCCCCTCAAGTAGGACCATTTCCTCTTCCAGATTCAGCTCAGTACACAAAAATGTGCAGAAAGACACTTTAGTAAGCAAGACAGAGTTCAGCATAGGCATGATAATGGTTACTTACTCAGAGAAGATGGGCCATTGTCTATTTGTTTTTAATGAGCTGATAATGACATTCATACAATAATAGAAATTAATACTAGTAAATCACAAGTGCTACAAACTTCATGCACTGTCTTATTTATTTTTCACAACATCCTCTGCTGTGATTATGCATATTTTCCTTGTTTTGTAGAGGAGAATCCCAAAGAGCCAAGTCACTCTGTCTAAGCCATTAATCAGCAAGTGATGGAGCCAGAGATCGACTCTAATTCTATTTAGATTCCATTACGTAAATGAGCTCTTCACTTCTAGACTGTAATTCCACTCTAAGTAAACAAATGGAGTGTAGTGCCACCAAGACATGATGTTGGCTGGGTAAAGCCATTGAAATCCCAGCCTGAGAGGTTTGTATGTGATCTCATAACAATACATAGTCACTAGAGATTTCTGAGCCTGAAGTTGAAGTGGTAAAATTCACTTTAGATTGAATTCACTTTAGAGTGAATTCACTTTAGATTGGATATTGATGGACAGGAAAGACAAGCTGGTGAAGTCAGAGATATGGAGACCATCTGAAAGCCTCTTACAAAAAGATGAAGTCTGTATGAGAAAGTTGTAACCCTTTATATTGAAAGATATTAAAAAGGCCTAAATAAACAGAGAGATATACTATGCTTTTAAATGTTTATAGACCAGAAGACTCACTCACCATTTTAAAGATGTCAATCCTTCCCAAATTAATCTACAGAATCAATAAAATTGTAGTCAATATCTACAGTTTTTTCATGGAACTTGACAAGCTAATCCTAAAATGAATATGGCAAGTTAAGCACCAAGGAAAACTAAAACACTGCTGAAGAACAGTAACTAGGTGGGATACAAGATATCATGACTTATACATATATAATAATTAAGACAGTTGGTATTTGTGCATGGTGAGCAAAAAGGTCAAGAGAGATTAGAGAAAAAAGCAGAAAATAGAGAGTCCAGTAACAAACCAAAGTGTATATGGAAACTGGACAGATTGTAGATTTGGCCTTTCTGATCACTAGGGAGAGGAGGGATTGTTCAAGAAATGATGCTAGGACAATTGCCTAAATAAGAAATTAGATTCCTTGTTCACACTACATGTAAGGTTCCTTTCCATGTGAATTAAGGGCTTAAATGTGAAAAAAAATGCTTCAAGCCTTTAGGAGAAAATATAGGGGAAATTTTATCTCTATGTGGCATAGAAGAATATCTTAAATTAAATTTTAAATTTCTAAAATAAAAGCATTAATATTAAAGAAGAGAGTGATATATTTGACTACATTAAAATTAAGAACCCCTATTCATCAAAGAATCCATAAGAAGGTAAAAGGATGTACAGTAACTGGGGAAAACCTGCTAACTACAGTATTACCAGCAAAGCCTTAGTACCTCAACTATATTAAGCCCTGAAATTGATAAGGAAATAACTACTCATTCAGTAAATTAGCACAAGAAAGAAGTAGATATTTTACGGAAGATGAAATATTTGTGGTGAATAAACCTATTAAAAAAGTGGGTGCCTAACCTAATCAGTAGTTTGAAAAGTCAAGTTAGAACTATAGTGAGATATCATTTTACCTCTTCCGATTTGGCAAAAATTAAGAAGTCTGATGGTACTGTTAGAAAGAATGTTTATTTATACTTTATTGGAGTAAGTGGCATTATTTTAGTAAAGCTATGTATACTGTATGACCCAGAAATTATATTCATAGGCATGTATCTCAGAGACATGCTTCTCACATTTTAATGTTCATATGAATCATCTGGTGATCTTGATAAAATACAGATTTGCATTCAGACATCTGAAAAAGGATTAAGTTTTAAAATCCATTATTAGTCACATTGTAAAAAAACTGCAAAACACCATTCATTCATTCATTGAACAATACTTATTGAGCTGAGAACTTACTATGTGCCAGGCAATTTTACAGTATTGAAAATATAACGATGGAATGATAGAAGGAAAAATGAGCTGAGAACTTACTATGTGCCAGGCAATTTTACAGTATTGAAAATATAACGATGGAATGATAGAAGGAAAAAATAAAGCAAAAATATTAACTAACTGGAGCTCTCTGTTCTAATGTAGGTGTGGTGAGGGAAAGGGAATTATGCACTAAATAAATAAATAAAATACACAGTATGTCTGATATTCTGTGATAAATCTATGCAAAATATTTAGCTGAGAAGGGAGGCAGGGAAAGCAGAGGGGAGTAGTTTCAATTTTAAATACAGTTATCAGGTAAAGTTTCCTTGAGAACTTGAAAATTAAGCAAAGACCTGGAAGAGGTGAGGGAGTGAGCTGTGTGATTAGCTGAGGCATAAGTGCATGTGCAAAGGCCCTGAGGCATGGACATGTTTTATGTACTGGATGAATAGCAAGGACATTGATGTGGCTAGATCTGAATGATTAAGGGGAAGAGAAATAAGAGACAAAACCAGAGAGGCAGAGCAGACCAGATCACATAAGAGTATTATAGACCACTGAAATGATTTTGCTTTTATAGCCAAATGAAGAGCCACTGGAGTCTTTTAAGTAGATGAGTGATACTATCTGATTCACAGATAACAGCATCATTTTGGTTACTATGAGAATAGACTAATTGGAGGAAGGAGGGAGAACAACCAGGAAGCTACTGCAGTAAGCCAAGCAAAAGACGATGGCAGCTTGGAGCAGAAGGGGTAGTGAGAAGTGATTTAATTTTGTATATATTTTTTAAATGTAGAGCTGATGGAATTTCTGAAACACTGAATGTGGGGTCTAAGGAAAGTGATTACTTCTACCTAAGGTAATAGAAAAATAGTGAGATGGGGAAGAATGCTGGAGAAACATGTCTGGGGAAGGAAGTGAAAATCATGCGGTCAGATTTGGGCATGTAATGTTTAAGATGTTTTAAGAGGAGCTGTTTAGTAGGTAGTTGGGTATGCCAGTCTGGAACTAAGGTGTGAGGTCTGGGTTGGGGATATATTTTGGGGAGTCATCATCATGTAAGTAGTGTTTATAGTTATGAGATTGGCTGAGATATCTAAGAGAGGGGGTGACAAGAGAAGGGATCTAAGGCCTGAGCCCTGAGTATTCCAATGTTTAAAGTAAATATCTTAAAGGCAAGTAGAGAGAAAAGACAAATTGCCTACAAATGATCAACAATTAGACTTACCAATGATTTTTGAAGAGCAACAATAGAAGTCAGAAGAAATGGAGGAATATCATTAAATATCTGCAAGAAAGAGCGAAATTATATTTTTAGGATAAAGGTGAAATAAGGACATTTTCAAGAGAAGCTCAGAGAGTTTACCACCAATAGACAATTCTTAAGTAAATGTCTTAAAGATGTGCTTCAGGAACTATGAAAGGGCTCCTCAGAAAGAACATGTGAAATGAAAGTGGGGAATAAAGGAAGATGCCAGTATGGTGGGTGGATGCCTCAATACTTCAGACACCAAACCCATTTGGATAAAGTTGGAAATCTTTTGCCAGGTATTAGAATTGTTCATTTCTAGAAGCTAATCTGCTGAGGATGTATATTTCTAATTGCTTTTGAAATGAATCCTCTCAGTGTCTGTCTTCAATATAGGCAAAATGTTTATTTTGCTTCTAGGTGTTTTTACTCATGAGCTTAACTTAAATAAGTGAATATAATTTACAGGGCTTTTTAAAAACAAATTGATGGGAAGTTTAAAAATACAATTTTAAGTTAAAATATTAACTAACTGGAGTTCTCTGTTCTAATCACTGACCTGCAGGGAAAGCATTTCCTATAATAAACTATGTGCCTATTCCAAAGGGGGATTTGGAAAAATCCTGTAGGGAAATACATAAGAAAAAGCAGATAATGATCCATATAAAAATATTGACATGGATTACATAATTATTTACCATTTGGGGAATGCAGTGTGTTTAGTAACCACTGAATTAGACCATAATGCCATGTTAAGATCTTGAAAAAAATTGCTGATGGATTAATACCAATCCAATTCATTTATTAACACCTAGACACCAATCCATAATAATATAACCCATAATATAATAATAACTTATACTAATTCTTCTGTCAAAAGAAAAACATTTACTAATGAAATCCCTTACATTAACTAAAGGAAGGAAAGCCTTTTAATCCATATTGATCTAGCATTGTTAAATTTCAACATTCATTCAATTTTTACAAGTAAAAATTTCTTAGCAAGCTAGAAATAGAAAAAAATTCTTAAAGAATAGACTGAACACCTACAATTAGCATTATGATTAATGACACCACATTCAAAGGATTTCTATTATAGTTAGAAACAATGTCAAGATGCCCTGTAGTACTGTATTGGAGGGCCTATACAATGTAATAACAAAATAAAAATACACAAGAGATATAACTGTTAGCAAGAAAGACATTGTTATTTACATAAAATGATAACGATAATAGTCTATGCAGAAACTCCTAGAGAACCAATACAAATTATTCAAACTAATTGGAGAGATTATGAAGGGGTGTGAGTCAACACATAAAAACCACCAGATTTAAAAAATACCACGAATAATCAATTAAAAACATTAGAGAAAAATTTATTTATAATTGCAGAAAAAAAGGAAGTATCTAAGAATAAACCCAATAAAGAATATGCAAGATATCTATAGGTAAAATAAGACAAAATTTAGTGAAGAGTATAGAGGAAGACCTGATGTATTAAAATATATATATTATATATAATGTTTGAGCATGTGAAAACTCAGTACTTTAAAGATGTCACTTCTACACAAATTACATTATGAATTTGACATAATTTCAATAAAAATCCTAAAAGAAATTTTCATGGAATTGCAAAAGCTAATTCTAAAATTAATATGGAAGAATAAATGCACAAGAATAGACAAGGAAATAAATGAAAAAAGCAAAATGAACAAAGAAGGAGGTTGCACTCTACCAGGAATCAAGATAGTTAGCAAACACATGGTAATAAAAATAATAAATATTCATGCAGGAAACACCTCCAAAAGATCAATGGAATAAGAATGAGAGAGTCCAGAGTCCAGGAATGAGCCTACATAAGGGACAATTAGCGACCCATTTTAGAAAAATATGATAAAATGATATCAATACCTAATGCCATTCATAAAAAAACCCCAGGTGAATTAAATGAATAACTCTAAAAAACTATAAAATATTAGAAGAAAATATAGGAGGATATATTTATGACTTTGTGGTGGAGTGATCTTAAAGTAAATATGTAAATGCATTAAGAATAAGCTATAAAAAAATTTTTCAACAAATTATTGAACTTCTGAATAACAAAAGACTATACACCAAAAATACCCATGAAAGACAATGATAGGAAAATGTATTTGCAATATACCAAAGACAAATGACCAATATTCAGAATTTATAAAGAACCAGTGATAATAAGAAAACCAATGATAATACATAAGGAAAGACAAACAACTCAATTGAAAAACATGTAAAAGATACGAAAGCGAGTCACAGAGGAGTTACAAATGGACCATAAACATACAAGATGAGTCCACGTCTGGTAATCAAGGAAATATAACCCACAATGATAACATTAATTTGCTACATTAGAATGTTTTTTAATGTTTGATAAATTACCTCTTTTTCCCTACAATGTAATATTGTACTGTAGTTAGAAACAATGGAATAAATCTAAGCATATTGATATTAAAGCTTCCAATAGGAAAATTACTAATGATTTGTACATTAATGTTTATGTAAACCTTGCTCTTCTACAATACACATCATGAGTATATAGAAATAACTGTCTTGGTTGGATTCCATAGAAGCAGACCTGAGATGCCAATTCTTCTTCAAGCCACTTACTGGGAAAGTGCTTTCAGGAGAAGGGGAGTAGGGTAGGATGGGGAAGAAGGTGAAACAAGAATGTGGTCTTGGGTGCAGATTAGCTTGACCTGATTCTGCAGAGCTGTTCTGGAGCCTGGTACACTAAGGTGGGTCCCACTGTGAGGCCATTTTGTGTCAGACCATTACTGACAAGTGTAGCCTGTCCCCATTTCCCAGGGGTTGGGGAGTAGTCACAGCTCTGGTTTGGCCAGCGACAATTCTCCAGAGAAAAGAGAGGCTCTGAGTTACTATCAGCTAACTCCAGCAGCAGCAGGTAAGGGCTCTGGGCAGGGCACAACAGCATCTACTACACACACACACACACACACATGCAAACATAGGAAAAGACTCAAGGAATTCACACAGAACTGGTAAAATGCTTACTTCTAGGGTCAAGGCTGTCAAGGTGGGCTTTCATTTCATAGTTGCTTTTCCTATCACCACAATATGCTACATTACTTATGTAATTAGAAAATAAGGTTTTTAAAAGGAAAACATTCACATAGGAAAAGACCATTATCCTACCCCATCAGCTCTTCCTCAATTTCTTATACTTACCAAAGTAAAACTTATTCAAGGGAACCCATTAAGGTTTCAGTGAGCTTTTTTAATTCTTGTATTTCACTGGTCAAGACAATTAGAGAACAGTCTTTCTTAGGAGGAGGTCATTTCAATTTTCTATTTAATGATAATATGATCACTCACAGTCCAATCTGTGAAATATGAGAAACATATATGTGTATTTGCTACAACAGAAATGCAATGTATATACAGTGTTCACTCCTCTAGTACCCAGTAACTTTGGCCAGGGCCAGAGTTTCTTCTGTTGAATGTCTAGTGAAAATAGCAAAACATCTTTTCTGTTAAAAGGGAGAGGGATTCTGATACCCATTCTCTACCTTTTGATATAGATGCTGCGAAAATTCATTGCTCTGCCCTCTTACTTGTTTAGTGTATTCATTTGCAAATCACTGGTAAAAACAGAAAGGGCCCCAGCCTCTCTACAGGTCCCTCTTAGCTTCTCCTTTTAACCATCAGGCGTGGTCTCATGCAGTGGGCTGATGAGTCCCAGATGTACAACTTCACCCTGACCTTTCTCAGGAACTCTATATTCAGCTGCTGGGGTGACCTTTCAGTCTGAGTGTCTTCAATTAGCATCTCAAACTAAAATGACCTCAATTCCCCTTCCACCCTCTCCCCTTATGCACCCATTCCTCATCCATCTTAGTATAAGTCATTGTCATTTATTCATTTTCCTAAGCCAAAAATCTGAGTAATCCTCCTTTCCTTCTTTTCATGATTCCCCCATACCCAATGCATTAGAAAACCTTCTTGGTATACTTCCACATCATCTCCGCCACATAGATTCCTCCATCTGTTAATTCTGCCCTCATCCAAGTGACATCTTTCTGTGGACTATTGTGACGACATATCTACACACTCTGTTTCATTTTTTTTTTTTTTTGCTTTCTATTGCACACAGAAGCTAGAGAAATCTTTAAAAATGACAACTGGATCATGTAATTTTCCTGGGTAAAACACCCTGCTATATTTAGAACAAAACCCACATGCCAAACTGTTGGTCCCAAAACATGAGGAACTCTTTCTTGCTATTCTCCCACCTCATTACATGTTCTCTTGCTCCCCCACCATGCTCTGGCCACATGGGGCCTCTGCTGATTGCTTTGTGCATCTCAACCCCGTTCATTGTTAGGCCCTTCATCATTTAGGTCTCTGTCTAGATATCACCTTCTCAGAGAGGTGTCTGCCCCAGTTCCAAACAGCCAGCCACGCAGTAACTCTCTATCATATTACCCTATTTTAATTTTCTGTATCGTATCTGCTACCTCTGTTATTTTTTGTTTGTTTGTTTGTTTACTGCTCATTTCATTCAAATTTAAGCCCTACAAGAGGAGAAGCTATGTACAGTCCATATCCTCAGGATATACGTAGAACTGGATTCTGGCACACAATAGGCCCTCCAAACACAATGCTGAATAAATGGATGAATAAATGCATGCAAGCATGGCCACTTCTGTTGAGTGCATTGTGGGAGATACATGATAGATGCAATGGTGGTCCCTGTTACATATGCACTTCCAGTCTGCTTGGGAGTCCAAACCATAGAGGGCTGCATGACTAAGTAGTAAGCTGTGTGGTATTGACCATAAGTGAGACAGGAATTCAGAGAAGAGTGTGGGAAATGCAAGAGACCTAAGCCTGGGGCCTCATTCCAGTATTTGCATACTGTTTCAGTATGCAAATATTTTAACTGAATGTATAGAATTTCCATTCCCATCAGCATGGTTGTGGCAGGAGCTGAATGGTGCTAAAACTGACAGTGATGGTTTATGCCCCAACACCCATCCAGATGA